CCTCGCGCCCCCCCCCCCAGCAGACCCCCGAGACGCGCTGCGGCGGTCCTGCCGCCCGCGTCCTCTGCGGCGAGAAAAGCCGCTCGGCGTCTCCCTGGTCTGCTGGGGGGGCTCCCCCCCCAGCAGACCAGGGAGACGCGGACCAGCTTTTTTCGCCCCGGAGGACGTGGGTGGCGGGACCGCGGTGCATCTGGGCGTCCCGCGGCTCCCGTCCTCCAGGGTGAGAAAAACCCGGTTCGTAACATAAGTCGGATCTGTGTAACTTGGGGACTGCCTGTACTGAGAAGCTCTCACCAATCATTAGCTGTCATCCTTATGTTCTAAATGATGGTAAATTTCCCTAAATTTATGTATTTAGAAAATGTCACTTTCTAAAAAGTCAATACATCTGCCAAACATAGACCAGCCTTTTTGTTGATGATGGTAGTTGATTTTTGCATCTGTGAAGTTAAATAAATTCGGCATGCAATATCCCTTAGACGTTTTTATGTATAGGTTGAACCTCCTTAATATGGCACTTTCTGGTCCGACATGATTTTAGTTAGCTGGATGTCCACTTACCGTGGGTGTGGCTAAATTTCCCATGGTCCCATAAAGTTTGTTTACAGCCACCAGACCTGGCATCTGTGTTCTGTGCTGTTGTTTAGCTCTAATTTACCCCAGGCGTCTTCTATGAGTCCAGTAAATAGTGGAAGTGTTGGTAATGCTGCTAGACAATATTGACCTCCCATAGTTTGGCAAATTCTCTGGTTCTGCACCAGTCAGATCCTGAGGGTGCCAGACTAGAGAGGGTCAACTTATGCTACCACATTGAAATTATGTCTGGTGCAAAGTTTGCAGATCTCTTGAGACATCTAGCTAGACTTGTGTAGTGCTGGGGAGGAGCAGGTGGTTGTGGTACATGTAGGTACCAATGTCATAGGGAGGGGAAGGGGAAAGAGATTGAAATCCAGGACCTGTAGGGTAGTGTTCTCTGAAATGCTTCCAGTTCCATGCGCAGAGTCAGGTAGGTAGTCAGAACTTCAGAGTCTCAATGCGTGGATGGAGACGATAGGGGAAGCCTAAATAGGAAGGATGGGCTCCACCTAAACCAAAATGGAACCAGACTGCTGGCACTTAACATTAAAAATGTTGTAGAGCGGTTTTTAAACTAAGGGCTGGGGAAAAGCCGAAGGTGCAGAGGAGCACATGGATCGGAAAGTGACATCTCTCAGAGGAGGGTCTATTAATAGAGATGCTCTATGTCAGGGCTACTCATGCGGCCCGCAGGCTCATATTGATAAACTTAATGGTAACAAGTCACCGGGACCAGATGCCATTCATTAGTAGTTCTGAAAGAATTCAGATGTGAAATTGAAGAACTATTAACTATGGTTTGTAACCTATCCTTTAAGTTGTCTTCTGAACCTAATGACTGGAATATAGCTAATATGACTCCAACATTTAAAAAGGTAAACCTGGCAACTCCAGACCAGTAAGTCTAACATCAGTACTGGGCAAATTAGTTGAAACCATAGTAAAGAATAAAATTGTCAGACACGTCGATGAAAATAATTTTTGGGGGGAAAGTCAACATGTTTTCTGTAAAGGGAAATCATGCCTTACTAATCTGCTAGAGTTCTTTGAGCAGGTCAACAAACGTGGACAAGGGGGATCCAGTGGATATAGTACACTTAGATTTCCAGAAAGTATTTGACAAGGTTCCTCACCAAAAGCTCTTAAGCAAAGTAAGTTGTTATGGGATAAGAGAGAAGATCCTTTCATGGATTGATAACAGGTTAAAAGACAGGAAACAAAGGGTAGAAATAAATGGTCAATTTTCTGAATGGAGAGAGGTAACTAGTGGGGTCCTCCAAGAGTCTGTCCTGAGACCAGTCCTATTCAACTTATTTATAAATGATCTAGAGAAAGGGGTAAATAGTGAAGTGGCAAAATGTGCAGATACCACCAAACTGCTCAAGATAGTTAAGACCAAAGCAGACTGTGAAGAGCTTCAAAAAGATCTCACCAAACTAAGTGACTGGGCAACAAAATGGAAAATGAAATTTTATGTTGATAAATGTAAAGTAATACACAGTGGAGAAAAAAATTCCAGCTATACGTACAATGTAATGGGTACTAATTTAGCTACAACTACTCAAGAGAGATCTTGGACTTATTGTGGATAGTTCTCTGAGAACATCCACTCAGGCTGTGTCTACACTGGCCACTTATTCTGGAAAATCAGCTGCTTTTCTGGAATAACTTGCCAGCTGTCTACACTGGCCCCTTGAATTTCCGGAAAAGCACTGACGATCTACTGTAAAATCATCAGTGCTTTTCCGGGAAAAACTATGCTGCTCCTGTTCGGGCAAAAGTCCTTTTCCGGAAAACTGTTCCAGAAAAGGGCCAGTGTAGACAGCACAGATTTCTTTTCCGCAAAAAAGCCCTGATCGCGAAAATGACGATCGGGGCTTTTTTGCAGAAAAGTGCGTCTACATTGGCATGGACACTTTTCCGGGAAAAGTGTTTTTCCGGAAAAGCATCCTGCCAATGTAGACGCGCTTTTTCTGGAAATGCTTATAACGGAAAACTGTTCCGTTTTAAGCATTTCCGGAAAAGGGTGCCAGTGTAGACGTAGCCTCAGTGTGCAACGGCAGTCAAAAAAGCAAATAGAATGTTAGGAATCATTAAAAAAGGGATAGAGAATAAGACAGAAAATATCTTAACGCCTCTATATAAAACCATGGTATGCCCACATCTTGAATACTGTATATAGATGTGATCGCCTCATCTTAGAAAAGATATATTGACATTGAAAAAGGTTCAGAAAAGGGCAACAAAAATGATGAGGGGTTTGGAACGGGTCTCATATGAAGAAAGATTTAAAAGACTTGGACTTTTCACCTTAGTCTCCTCTTAGTCCAATAGAGGTCTATAAAATCATGACGGGTGTGGAAAAAGCGAATAAGGAAAAGTTATTTACATATTCCCACATTATAAGAACTAGGGGTCACTAAATGAAATTAATAGGCAGTAGGTTTAAAACAAACAGAAGGAAACTTTTCTTCTCTCAGCACGCAGTCAATCTATGGAACTCCTTGTCAGAGGATGTGGTGAAGGCTAGGATTTTAACAGGGTTCAAAAAAAGAGCTAGATAGATTTATAGAGGTTAGTTCCATCAGTGGCAATTCACCAGGATGGGTAGGATTGGTGTCCCTAGCCTCTGTTTCTCTGGAGGTGGGTGACAGGGGAGGAATCACGTGAGGATTACCTGTTGTGTCCCCTCTCTCTGGGGCATCTGGTATTGGCCACTGTCAGCAGACAGGACACTGGGCTGGATGGACCATTGATCTCTCCCAGTATGGCTGTTCTTACATTCTTATAATCAGTTGAGTGACTGTGGTATTACTCAAAATGTAGAGATGCAGTCAATAGAATGACATAGGCAAATGAAATTTCCAGTTTACATTTCATTAACCTCCGACTGTTTTTTTTAAATCCACTATTTCACTTCTGGTGACAAATGTACACAGTGAAGAGCTGTGAATTTAGAACTTAATTTTGCTAGCTTGTGGAGGTCTCATGACAAAATCCTGATACCATTGCACATTTTTTCTGAAAGTTTATATTTAAAAAATTTTCAACATCCACTTTAAACTAGGGATGTTAAATATTGGTTAACTGAACAGTTGATTAACCTCATGAATTCTTATCAGTTACTCAGCTATTCTGTAGTCCCCAGGGATGGGGTGGGGCTGGCAGCCAGTGCGCTCTGGCCCCAGTCACGAGGAGCCACCTGCCACTCAGTGCTCTGCCTTTGGTGCCAGTTTTAAAACCAGATTTCCTTGCGGACCGGCTGCCTGACTCCCTGCGCTGTTGCCTCTGATAGAGAGGCAGCAGGGTGGCAGCAGCCCATGTCTGGGGAGGACCTGAGCTCCCAGACCCAGCGCGGAACTGAGTCAGGCTGCCTGCCTGCCCGGCTCCTAATACACTTTAAATGCAAGGCCACCAAAGGAGTAGGTCCCAGACCCGGCGCAAGTCAGGATTAAGACGGGTTGCTGGCCAGCCTGCTAAAAAATTTACTGGCGGGGGGAGGGAATGCATGTAGTCTATATAGCATTAACCTTATAAGCTTTTACTTATCAGTTAATTGACTACACTATTACATCCCTATTTTAAACTATGCTTGGGTGTTCTAATGAAGCACTGTAGGATATATAATAGATGCTATATTTGAAGTACACACAATTTTGGAAGGAAAGGAGCCCTAAACTGAGATATAAAAAGACATAGTTTTTCATCAGTCAGTCTCATCTTAGCCAGCTTTATGAACAATAGGAAAATGAGCTATATTTTCCATCTCCAAGGTCAATAAGGATCTTAACTTCTGCCAGGAAGATCAATTATAGCTTTTCATTCTTTTGAATTTTCTTAGGCTCATCCTTTCTTCAGACACATTAACTGGGAAGATCTGCTAGCTCGGAAAGTGGAACCTCCCTTTAAACCATTATTGGTACGTACCTGGAATCCAATAAATTGTTTGTTCCTTGCATGCCTTTAATGGCATTTTTCTCAAACTTTGACCTACCTTATTGGATCTAAAACTCAAAAGTATCTGCTATGCTATCTTTGTAACTTTGCTTGGTTATAATGGCTTTATACTCTGATAAACTGACCCGTATGTTGCAGCTTAAGAACCCTGTTCATAAAACTGTAAAAGCTGCACACTTAATTGAAATAACTTAACTTGTACTCAGCATTGCTAGCAGAGCTAGGGCTAGAACCTTGGTCACCAACAGGTCGATCGCGATCGACTGGTCAATGGCGAGGCCTCAACCAGTCAATGGCAAGGCCTCAACCAGTCAATCGCAAGGCATCCTGTCCGCCCCACCCCCATTTCCCTCCCCCCCCCGGGAAGCCCCACTACCTACCTTAAGTGAAAATGGAGGTAGTGTCGGCTTCCCGGGATGGGCAGAAGTCCCACAGCTTAGCGCCACTTCCGGCGATTCCGGAAGTGCTCTAGCTGTTCTGCCGGGTGTACTGCGGGAGGGAGCATCGGCTCCCTGCACCGCACAGGAGGGGTGAGTCAGCCCCGGAACAGGAGCGTGTGGGGTTTCCCTGCGCAGCGGGGGGTGGCAGGGGTGTCGGCCCCGGGACAGGCACGTGTGGGGTTTCCCTGCACCGGGAGGGGGGGGTCGGCCCTGGGGCAGGCGCGCGCGGGGTTTTCCTGCGCCGGGGGGGTCGGCCCCGGAGCAGGCATGCGCGGGGCTTCCGTGTGCTGCGGGCAGCAGGGTGGGGAGGTCTGCACGGGGTTTCCCTGCGCCGCGGAGGAGTCGGGCCCGGAGGAGGCATGTGCTGGCTTCCCTCTGGGGGGGGCGAAATCCTGGGAGGAGGCAGATGCAGGGGACTCTCTGCCTCTACTGGCACCCTGCCCCCACTCCCCTGTCCCCAGCCACAGAACTCTGTCCCTATTCCTGTCCCTACTGGCACTCTGTCCCCTGCTGCAGAACCCTGTTCCCTCTCCCCTGCCCCCAGCTGCAGAACTCTGTCCCCACAAAATGTATAATTATAAATACTTCATTTTAGATTTAAATAGCACGAATAAAAAAGACCATTTATTTCATAACTATAAACATGTGATTTTAATTTTATATATCGCATAATTTAAAAATAAACTTTATCAGAGTGTGTAAGTAAGGGCTGGGCATAGCAAGTGATGGGCAGGAGGAGAATAGAGAGGGCGGGGCTTGAAGGAAGGGGCGGGGCGGTAGATGTTCACCTGTTCTGAGATTTCAAAAGTGATCTTGAGTGTAAAAAGGTTGGAGACCACTGGGCTAGAAGAAACTATCCATCTTAGAGCTTTCCATAAGATTCTTTTGGGAACTGATGCCAGTATATACACTCAAGAATTAAAAGGCCTTATGATTATTCTTCTACAGACACTTACCATTGTACAAAGGATACTGGATAGCATTACTGTGTTACGCCCACTTCTGCTACTCTGTTCTATCCTCGGGGTCGGAGCTTGCTTTTTTAAATAGACATGGGGCAGGAAACCCAGCACAGAATCAGAGTAGACTTTTCCTTCTTAGTTTTACTTGTTTTCCTTTAATCACTGATTGTGGAGCAGTTGATTTCAATTTTACATTCTCCCATTTATAACCTGGCTATATAAGCTCAAAGGTGCTGTTTTCCTGAATTTGTTTCTAAGACTCTAACATTCTGTCAATACTTGGCAAAAACTGAAATTTTCAGTAGTCTCTCAGTAAAATATGAATCAAGTCACTTTATTCAGCATCTTGAGTGTTACCTCGCTCAATTTATCCTGCGTATAATTTTACAAGCATCATTTAACTTCAAAGTGGCAATGTTGTGAATAAGGCCCAAGCCTCAAATCTATTGGACTGCAGTCTAAAAAAGAGGCCGATATTTATGAAAATGTCGCCTGTACAAGATGGCTAAACTTGCATCTTATAACTTCAGCAAATTCTGTAGTGTGCTAATCAGTTATACTAACCAGATTCCTAAAGTTAGGCAAAATCTCTGTACAATTATGAAGCTAAAATTAACAATCACAGGCAGGGATCTGAGAGAAAGCATAAATTGGAAGAGCTGCCTTTGGAGTAATTGGTAAAATTCCTCATTTGAACAGTAGACAGTCACTTGGTAGTCATTTATTCCACTGCTGTTTTCTGTCCTTAGCAATACAAGTATTTTTGCTTCTATGAAAAAAGTGTATTTGGTATGTGAAACTACAGTAGACTAACTGGTGTAACTTCTCACAAGAAAGTGGCATTTGTTTCTATTGTAACTTGAGGTTTATTTTCAAGGCATCTTTTTAATTTGTGTTCCTTTTTGATCCATAATTCTTGCTCCTCCCCCTTGCCTTTATTTCTCAGTGTCAGTGTCCATAGTGACCTCCCACTGGCAACGGCAGGATTCCGACTCCTCTCCAAGGTTTTACTACAGCAGAGCTCTGCCAAAAACCTATGGAATCAACTCCATCCAGAGGCTTCACTGATCACCGCTAAGCCATTTGGTTGATATCTGTATTATAAACCCTTAATCATTTTGTTTTTGCAAAGCAATCTGAAGAGGATGTGAGCCAGTTTGATTCAAAGTTTACACGTCAGACACCTGTTGATAGCCCAGATGACTCAACTCTCAGTGAAAGTGCCAACCAGGTCTTTCTGGTAAGTGAGCCAGGAATGTATGGGTGTTGACTTTGGAAAGGTACATTGTGTTCTTGTTAGGAAATGGTATAGCTCATTTCAAGTGAATTCCTTCCAAATCCAGAAAGAAAACATTACATTTTACCACTTACAAGAATGACAACTGTTTGTCAAGCTAGTTCCGAGACCTCAAAATTTTAAATATATTATTCATTGCAGAAGGGTAGCATCTCTTTAATCATTTTGCCTTGTAACCTTTAATAAATAGTTTCTTAGGCTTGGTTACAGCTTCATTTATACATTGGACAGTAAGAGTCTACATTTTAAAAGTAAAATAGACACATTTTGAATTGCAGTAACAGTGAAATAGCATATTACAGTAGACTTCTGATAATCCGGCACCTTTGGGACCCAGGTGGTGCCGGATTATCGGATATGCCGGACTATCGGGAGGTACTCGGGTGGGGGGCTGTGACTGATCTGCTGGGACCCGCACTGCATCCGGTGGGGGCTTGGCGGGGAACTGTGCGGTGAGGGACGAACCCTCCACCGTTTTGCAGGGAGGCAAAGCCTGCAAGTGGCGAGAGGCAGGCAAGTGCTTCAAGAAGTTGTTAGTCAATTACAGTACTGCTGGGTGGATCCGCAGGTGACAGGTTCACAATTTCCTCTTATTGAGGAATTCAGATGCAAATTCAGAATTCAGAGGCAGTAGAGGAAAGACAAATTGCGAGCCTGTCACCTGCGGATCCACCCAGCAGTACTGTAATTGACTAACAACTTCTTGAAGCAGCTGCATGCC